AAAGAAAAAAAAAGAAGGAAAAAAGGGCTCTTCGATTCTATTCCGATTTGCAGCAATGCAAAGCGCTCGGATCTTCTGTTTGAGGGTCTTTACGTGCACAAGGAGTGGTGCTGCGAGGACAAAAGGACTAAAAATTAAGTATCTTCACTTAAAATGTTGTTCACCGTATTTACGGTGAATTGAGGCCGTTTCCCTTTCGAAATCATTTAACGATGCGCGCCTTCCGATGAGTGAAAACAATGTGCGTATTTTTTAAAAGCTGTTACGAATTGTTGCCAGTCTGCTGCGTCCCTTCTTCCCTTCATTCATTTTACGGCTCTATTTTAATATATAGGTCGATAACATTCGGGCTTCTATTGCCCACTTAAAGATAATGGAGACGCTGGTGAGATTTTAAATGGCTTTTCGTGGAGACTCGATTTTTAAATCACTCTGACGTTAATAAACTCGTCCACCGGTTAAATTGAAAAAGCTAAGTGAATGTGTGTGTGTGCGCACTAGAGAAATGGAGATAAAGAAAGATGGAAAGAGACGGCCCTTAGAAAAATATATTCGCTTCTTCCAAATCTCTGAGCGCGTTCCATTTCAGTAATTATCCTTAAGAAACCTTATTTTTTATTTTGCGAAATAATCTGCAGCTTCTACACTCCTTCTCCCTTCGCAGCTCCCACAATATTGGCTACTTGCCCATTGTCACCCGGATCGAACGGAATAGGGTCAAATTACGTGACGTCATCCTTACATGACGACTGCATTATTATTTACATCTACATTGGCGGCTCCAGAGCCGCTCTATCCATTAAGCCAACGATAATATTTGGGGCTTACGAAATAATATTGGAATCAGGATTAAAAAAAATAGATATTTTGTTATTATGCTTTATTGAACAAAGATATCGAGTAGTGGCACACCTGATCGGGTCCTTGTTATGCATTAGGTGAAATCCGTCAATTTCGTCTTATTTATTATGCATATTTCCCAGGGCAAACAATAATTTTTGGGGCCCACGATATTTAAAATTAAATATTTAATTGTTAAGTGAAAGATGCCAAAGAACCTTCGTCATATCTTAACTGGTACCTAGGGCCCACGATGACCTTAATGCAGCCCTGTGTCTACGGTCTATGACAACCTTAATACGGCCCTGGGAGACTCCCTCTTTTTTGTTAGTATGCTTTATTGAACTTAGATACCGAATGATAAGACATCTGGTCAGTCTTATCCATTACACAAATTGCTTATGGCCAACAAGATTTTTTGGGACCCACGCAAAAATATTGGAATTATGATTCAAGGATACATATTTTGTTATTATGCTTTATTGAACGAAGGTACCTAGTGGTATGCAGATTGACTAGGGCCTACGAGAAAATTTGGTTCAACAAAAAAAAAGAATTAAAATTTACTGCATTATTGTTAAATTAATTGAAGGATACCAATGAATCTTTGTCATCTCTAATGTAACTTGTGCCTAACAAACCCCACAACAAACTTAATGGGGTCCTGTGTCTGTCGCCTACAGTCTATGACTACCTTAATGCGGTCCTGTGCAGCTACCTTTTTTTTTGTTCACTCGAATATCAATTTTGAACTAGTTATCAATTGTCGATTTGAAAAAGCGAACCAAAATCCAACCAGTTTATATCAGCGTTTAATTGCTATTGTTTATTGCATTTTCCGCCTATTAAAGCGTCCATTACCGCAAGTATAACGAAATCATATATTGCCGCGGTTTTAATCAAAACCCATTTAGGATTTCGCTGGGCTTAATCCGCTCAGAAAAGATTTCAATTTAATATCATTTGCATTCAGTTTAATTAAATCCGTGATATTAAAATCCCTATAGCTTATAATTATATTAAACTTATTTAAATACAGTAATTTATAAAATTGATTAATCATCATCATTATCATAACTATCTTATTAATACTAATAAAGATTTATTACTTTATTAGCATTTGTATGAAGATAAAGTTTGAAGTCTTAATGTGAATATATGAGCTATAGTTAATTAATTAAAAAAAAAGAAGATTAATTATCTTATAAGTACAACCATCTTATTAAAGAAATATCAAAATAAAATCTTGAAGGATTCGTGTTGGGGTGAGATGGAGAACATTTCGAAACCAAGTTTAGATTATGAGATTGCGTAGGCTATCTAGATTAAGCTCTATTACCTGAACTAGAGTCTCTATTAGTCAATTACCGAATGGAAGTAGGTACTTCGTAGTGAATGGGAAAACTTTATTTCATAACATTCAACTCATCATAATTGGAGCTGAATGTCTTCCTGTTATTGGACTTCGACGTGGAATATTTTAATGGCAATAGAATCTGATGGAGTTTGTTTCTAAACTTCAATTTCCTGATGCAATCTTATCCTTGTTCGCATTTCTCTAACGTTTTTTATTATGATACTAAAACGTTTTCAAATCTAGTAAACAGGACTTAATTAATATTCAATATATGCTGTTTCATTAACTAAAATATATTAGTTTTATAAGAAACTAATAATAAGAAAATAATTACATAATGTTGATTTATCAAAATTTACAAATAAATTGTTGCAATTATTTTTCTTCATTGTGATACCAAAATTTAGATAAATTATTCTAATTATCTTTAAAGTTTATCTTTTAAAATAATGCTTGTTTTTTAATGGAATGTTCTTCTTTTGATAGAGTTAATTGACTTATTTTCTAACAATTATTATCCAAATTAATTGAACTGAACTCTTTTTAAAATTAATTTTGATAATCATTTTTTGCAATTAATTTTTAAATAACTACTCAATATTGACATCTGGACAATAACAAATTTTTCAATGTACCAGTTTTATGTTTTTTTTTATAAAACTACTTTTTCTTAATAATTTTAAATGTTTCAATTTTTACTCAAATTTTGAATAATATTTGTATATTTTCTTTCGATGGAGACCACCTTATATAATTAGCAAAATTAAGCTTGTAATATCAATACAATAATATATTTATAATGAGTGAGCACATTTATTCATATATTATTTTAAATATACAACTGGTTAACTATTTGTGAATGTTGTTGATTCAAATTGTCACCATAAATTATATAGTCAATTGTTTCTAATATGGATATAATGATTAATTATATGAGAATGATGACGATCTACATGATATTACATAATTGTCCCAAATATTATTTTTTTGAAAATTAAAATATATTTTTAAGCTAATTTCAAATAATATAGTTAATATATAATATATTTTACAGTATTGATTCGTCTAATTCAATAGAATTAAATTCTTTTTACAATCAATTTCCAAGTTAGGGTGAGAAAGGTATAAGTTTTAAAAATGACGTAAAAGTAATTAATATAATTTTGCAAGCGCCCATTGGTTGGACGTTGATAAGCGTTTAATGGGTGATGGTTGTACGTATCTAGTCCAGTCTCTGATTCATTGCATTTGGTCGGTGTTGTTGAATGAAAAGACCAGATGCGAGTGGGGAGTTCGTTCGGATGTTGGAAACGAGGGAAGATGGAAATGAAATTTGTGGTCGCTGCGAAACGCGCAGTAAATTCACATAAACAAAGTGTAATTCCGGCTCTAATCCCGGTCCGCTATGACGTCCCGCAGGATTACACCGAAACTAATGACACCGTTTCCGGAGGGCCATCCGATGATCCGACTTATCGATGCTTCACTAACGGTCCAGATTGTAGAGCACCGAGAGCAACAAGAACTCTAACAACATCAACAACAATAATCAATCCCCGCAACCACCGCTGCTTCTAATTATTCGTCAGGTTTAATAACGCATCGAAATTGGAATTAATGAGTGTGATGTAATGCAGAGTTATGGATCGTGCCTTCTGTTTTCGCATAACAACGTTTCATTAAACTTTTTTTGCTGAAGGAATAAAACAACTTTTAACTTCTTGAAAAATGCAGTTTATTGCTTCCATGCTAATTCATAAATTTCATTTAAATTTATTATAATTTAGATGCAAATGTTTATTTGAATACATACAAGCAAGTCATACAAGAATAAAAAGTGAACAGAAATAAATACTATAGTTCAAATCATAAAAATACTCGGTTAATGAAGATTTAAGTTAAAAAACTATATATAAATATTGTTAAGAAAATTAGAGAATAAAACCGAACTCTTAGGGCAACTAAATTGATACATTTACAACTATTTATTTGTTTGTAACTGAATTTTCATGAACAGATGTTACAAAAAATAAGTATAAAAGAAAACTTGTCATAACTTCAATATTTATAACGATATTAACATTAATTTACTTGATACCATATTTCATCCTCAATACTTTTTGCTAAAGTTACAAATTTCACTGTAACTATATTTAGTTGGAAACAGTTATGTGTAGTAAAACGTTGTTGTTGGCTTATCAAAGTGTGTTTGTAATATTCTCAAAGTTTTCGAAGTCTTTGTTGAAGAAAACCGACGATGCTTATTTAGTATGTTATCTAATGAATGTTGTAACTACATCATCTTACATAATTTGTTGAATTAAAATATAAAATATTATCAAATGAATATTTTCCAAGTTTGGGTAATAATATTCTGTTATAGATTAGTTTATATAATTTTAAGTCTGATAAATCATTAGCTTTAATATATTTGTTGGTTCAAGAATCATCTTCGTTTAAAACAATTTTAATTTTGTATGATTATAGGGTATTATTAAAGATCCTTGTTGGAATAAGTATATAAGATGAAGGATAAGAAACTTTCATAGGATAATCCAGATACTTTGGTTAGTTTCTAACCGTTAGAGAAGCTTTGTCCGAATAATCTCTTTTTAAAAAATTACTTTAAATTGCAGAATTACTTAAGTAATTACAGATTTATAATATTATAAATGCTTTATTCTTAATTCTTGTATTTTTATGTTATATAGTGATATTGTATATATAATGCGTTGGGTATAGGTAGTTTGGAAGAATTTATAGGTGATGGAAGTTTGTTATTCGGTTTTGCGGTAATGATGCCATGTGTCAGGATGGCGGAGATCCAGGATTAATGCATGTTTTAATCCAGAATTATGGACGGAGAGTTGATTGATCGCGACTGGGGGTAATTGATTTGTGTGTGTTTGTTGTAGGGAACTGAAAGCGGCGTGCACAGATGCTTTAGCTGGGAAGAGGCTAACACAAGAAATTGGCGTTGATAAAGTGGACAAATCATTAGTATCAAATTTTGAGATATTGAATCTAGTTCCTGATCGTACATCGAAGGAACCCGATGGTAATTTAAATAATAATAGTACGCAGAATAGGTCGGATTACGGTGAGTGTTGTTATCTGAATAAATTTATAAAGTATTAACTGGTTAATTCTTTTCGTTGTTAAAGACGAGGGGAGTGGAATGAAGTGGAAGAGGGTTGGAATGGTGTCTGGGAGGTCTGTGCGTCTGGATACGATCGTGTGGCCCGGAGGAGATTTATCTGTGGCTGCGCTTTCAAGCAGAGCACGGACCGTGTTCAGGATAGTGACGGCTCTGGCACCGCCGTTTGTGATGGAAAGCGATCTGGATGAGGATGGACAATGCTTAAGAGGTGGTTGGTTAATGCAAGAGTTAAGGTTTACGGTGTTATTAATTTCTGCTTTTAGGTCTTCCATGCCATAGAGTGCTCACATCAGATAAGGATAATTTAACGTTGGTATTCAATGAGATGGAATACAAGCATCGCCAAGAGGAAGAGGATGAATCAGAGGTTCAGGAGAAAGAAGAGATGGCGGCGGACGAGGCAGAAGATACGTCGCAGGAGGATTACGGCAACGACGATGGCAACGATGAGGATCGATTCTTTCCTTTCCAGAAGTTCAGATATCGCACGCACTGTTGCTACGGCCTATCCATGGACCTTCTGGAGAACGTAGCCCAGGAGTTAGAGTTCGACTTTCGGCTGTACATTGTCTCGGATGGACTGTTCGGCGCGAAGACGTCGACGAGAAGACGCGCGGGTGTCAAAAGAGCAAAACGTGAGGTCGGAAAGAAATTTTTGAGTTATAGATTTAGTAAAGATGAAACTTCTCAAATAGATGCAAGGACGCGCGAATACGAGCAAGAAGAGATCGATGTGAAATGGAACGGGATCGTTGGTGATCTGGTGTCGGGCGCAGCACACATGTCCTTCGCGGCTCTAAGCGTGTCCAGCTCTAGGAGCGAGGTCATAGATTACAGCACGCCCTATTTCTTTAGCGGCGTTTCGTTCCTCGCGGCTCCCCAGCAGAAATCCGAGATTCCCTTAATGGCTTTCCTCTTGCCTTTTTCCCCAGAGCTCTGGATTGCAATCTTCACCAGCCTAAATATCACTGCAATCGCGGTTGCCATCTACGAATGGCTCTCTCCGTTCGGTCTCAACCCCTGGGGCAGGCAACGCTCCAAGAACTTCAGCATGAGTTCCGCCCTTTGGGTCATGTGGGGTCTACTCTGCGGTCACCTCGTCGCCTTCAAAGCGCCGAAAAGTTGGCCAAACAAGTTCCTGATTAACGTATGGGGCGGATTCTCTGTCATCTTTGTTGCCAGCTACACAGCCAACATAGCAGCTCTTATCGCGGGACTTTTCTTCCACAACACAGTCAGCAATTACCATGATCGATCGGTAAGGGCAATTTTACTTAATCTTTCCTCAACCAAAATCTGATCAACTGTTCATTTTGAATTTATAGATTTATTCAAATGTTTACAATAATACATTTATAACTTTATTATATTCTTGAAACACTATTCATGAAATAAATGGTTGAGGAATTTATGATGTGATTTATAGTTCATTCTACATAACTTTGATCAAGTTATTTTGTGTAAGTTTGTTTTGTACTCTTTCATGAGATATTTTATTTATTGCTTATGTTTTATTACTTAGTATGATATCTAGTTATATTTTACTGATTTACATCAATGAAATGCATATGATTTGTATTTAAATTTTGTAGTTGTTGAGCCAGAAAGTAGGAGCGCCAAAAGCTTCCGCCTCGGAATATTACGTGCAGAAAGCGAACCGTTTACTATGGGAGCACATGCACAAGTACTCTCTGGATAACGTAGAGGTGGGTATAGAAAGATTACGCAACGGCTCCTTGGATATCCTCATCGCGGACACCCCGATCCTGGATTACTACCGAGCCACGGATCACGGCTGCAAGCTGCAGAAGATTGGCGATACTATCAACGAAGACACTTACGCAATCGGAATGTCGAAAGGATTTCCGCTGAAGGTACAGACTTGAAAGTCCCATTAGTTGAGGATTTTTATTTCTACATCAATCCATCTGGATTTCAGGACAGCATATCAGCAGTGATAGCGAAGTATTCCAGCAACGGGTACATGGATATACTGCAGGAAAAGTGGTATGGAGGTCTGCCTTGTTTCAAGTTGGCAACGGAAATAGCGCAGCCTAGACCGTTGGGTGTTGCCGCAGTCACAGGGGTCTTCATCCTTCTGGGCTTTGGCATGATAATGGGTCTGCTTATCCTTTTAGTCGAGCACTTGTTTTTTCGCTACACCCTTCCGATTCTCCGAGAGAAACCCAAGGGATCCATTTGGCGGAGCCGCAATATCATGTTCTTCAGCCAAGTCAGTATATTTCGCAAACGAACTATCCTATTATACATACGAAATTCAGCAATTCGTGGGTACAATTTTTCATAAAAAAAATTAATCACTTAATATTTACTTACAAAAAGAAAGGAAAAAATCTATGTAGAAATCAGTAAAGCGTAAAGGGCTGTAGGTTTTCTAATATAATTATGTTTTATTGTCACCGTTTTGTGTAGATAATTGAATTTTTATTGCTGTAGTTTCTTCATTACAAATTCGTACGTTCCGCCACTGGTGAAATCTAATTTAAAGTTAACACATTTGTACATAGATATATTTAATTGAAAAGCTATCAACTTTGAAACTCGACGAAATGTTTATGAAATCTCTTTGTGTTGTAGAAACTTTACCGCTTCATTAATTGCGTGGAACTGGTGTCTCCTCATCACGCGGCTCGTGAATTGGTGCATACCATACGACAAGGGCAGATAACTAGTTTATTCCAGAAGAGTATAAAAAGGGTTAGTGAACGTTCGAACTAAGTGAATCCGTTTCTTGATGATAAATTGTTTCAGAAGGAACACGAACAACGTAGGCGCAGGAAGAGCAAAGCGCAGTTTTTCGAGATGATACAAGAGATTAGGAGGTACGTACTAGGTGTAGTTCCGATAGGGAGTAGCGTTATTAAAAGGCTTGAAAATATCAAGTACGATTCGTAGGCAGCAGCAGGAGGAACGGGAGCAGCCCTTGGAGTCCGTCACCGAGGTCGACTCCGAGTACCAGCTGAGCCCCGAAGAAGTACGGAAAGGAAAGCCGAGTCCAAGCATAATTAGAAGAACGTTTATGCGGACCAGCCCAAAGCTGGAAAACACTGCCAAGTCTCCAACATACTTTAAGCCCCTCTTCAGTCCCCGTTCTAACAATAAAGCTAAAAGTTCGACGAGCTTGAACGTACGCAGATTCAGCACGGATAGCGTATTCAATTCGCAAACTTTGAAACTGGACCGCAACGCTGTCGGACGGAGATTGAGTAAAGATGCCTCTTCCTTCCTGTCAACCAGTCCGCCGGATATAAATAGCCGGAGATCGAGTTACCTAGACATCGTGACGACTGGAAGCAGTAAGTTACAGGGGAAAAGCCCGGTGCTTTCTATAGAGAACGTCTCCGACTTGAACACCATTGAAAGGAAGCTCTCGGACTCTGAGAGCATCGGCAGGAAGTTAGCCACGCTTCCCAAATATCGTGAACCTTTCGACAAGAACCGTCTTCAACCTCAACTAAGCTTGACGATAGGTAAAAGCGACGAAACCTTATCGAAATCAGAGAAAACCGATAACCTAACGCAGGCGAGGAGCTACCAGGATATACTCGAACCCATGCAATCATCTAATTCGATCACCGTCAACTGCGAACCCAAAAGCAACCTTTCCGATGACGAAATCGCCAGGAGAAACAAACTGACCATCGAACAATTGAACACCCAAATAGTTAGTAAAAAAAGTAAACCAGCTCCGATTCGGAACGCAAATCCCCACATCCGCATTCAGGTCGAAGACACCTCCACCAACAACACCACGAAAGATACTACCTCCAATACTAAAACAGTCAAGGCCAAGACAAAGCGCCATCAGAGCTTGAGCGATACCAAACACCCGGAGCCAGCAAGGAGAAGCAAACTCACCGAACATTCCCGTTCCTTGGACAGCAATCCCACATCGAACTCCAAAAGCAGATCACCCAGATGCAAAGAGCACATCCTTCCGCCTGCTCCTCCACCTCCCAACTGTTCCCCGCGCAATTCCAACGGAAAATCACCTCTGGAGCGGCTCTCCAAAGATGAACTGGTCCTACTTTGGCGAAGCTCTGAATCGGAGCTGCGCAGCCACCTTCTAAAAGCAATAAGAGACAAAGAGGTGTCGGATCCACCTTGAGACCAAGCCGAGTCAGTTATACGCGGAAGAATCAAAAAACAAAAACAAAATAACAAACTTTATGAAGTAAACTGATAATATGATAAGATGCGCCAAATATTTTTTATACGCCGTTTACTCAATTTGCTTTCGGCACTTTCGGAGATTCAGTGCTCGGAATTTTGAATAAACGCCTTAGATCCGTAGAGTGATATTACCAACGACCAGTGTTAATAAAAAAGAGAAAATACTACATAAAACTACAAGAAAATGATATTTGAACACAACAAATTAAGTAACTGATAGTTTACTTACTAGCCTTCGTCTTAGAGGTGACATCCTCGAGCCTTCATACTTAGGACTGTTCTTGTATAATAGACGTTTTAATGTTTTAATCTCGATCCATCGTTCATCCGTTAATTTTAGTAAACCACTCGCGTTAATACACACATAAATAATGATAATATCAAATAGCGGAGAAGCTAGCATTTCGATTTTCAGCCGTTCATTTCGAACGGAAACATAAAAAATAATATCTACTGCCAATTATATCTTAGATTATATAACGAGAAGAGACGTGTTTAGTAGATTGGTGATATTCGAGTCTTATGCAAAATAAAAAGTAAATTAAAGAAGGAATAATAATATTTATTAGGAGGATTTTAATCTAGGCTAATCGTTGTTAACAGTTCTACAAATTAATTCGAAACACCAAAAATGAGTAATTTAAATAAACAAATTAAAATTTAAAAAATAAACTTAGAATATTAAGAAGAAAATAAATTTAAACGAAAATTGCAGATTTAAAAAAAAAACTTTCTCTGTCTCCGTCTAAATTCGAATGTAGCTAACTATTGTTGAAACTTTGATAGTTTATTGGAATTGATTAAATAAAAAAAATGAAATTTACGTTCAATTATAAAGAGAAATTAAAAAAATAACAATGTGATTAAGAAAACAAATATATATATATGATAATTGTTTAAGATATTTTTTTGCAATGTTCAGTGAATTTGGCAAGTTTTAAAGAAAATAATTAAAGAGATATAAAAACATAATATAATTGAATAAAGAAGTCTATTTAAAGAGATATGTAGATAACTAAACGAGAAAAGAACATTAAATATAGATTGTAATGTAATATGAAAAGTACTTTAAATTGGAACCGTTAAATAAAAATGAATTGAATTTTAATATTTGAAATTATCTTCCGTTTTTTTTTTGTTGTTTTTTGGCATTCTCTTCAATCTGGCTTGTGTTTTGATTGATGTAAATAATGTATATAGATTTTGATGTTTATCGGTGAATGCGACAAGGAAAGATTATATTTAGATCCACAGATTTGTAAATGATATATTAGCAAAAAAAAACAGCTGATTTAAAAGAAAATTTTTATTGTTGATGAAAGAGAATTATAAATGAATGAAATAAATAAAGAAATTTAGAAAGACAGATACGATGTGTTTTATTAATGAAAATTTTTTGTTAAAATCAATTTTATTAGAAATTACTATATGCAACCATACATATACTTAACGTGATCTTTAAATCCTTACCTGCTTAGTTTTAAGTCTGTTGATATAGAATTTAACAATTTAAATGAGAAACACTTTTTGCTGAAATTGATCTAAATTATTTAGTTTGACAATGTCATGAAATATGTCAATGGTTCAGCTGAAAGTTAAATGTTTCGACCCGCTTTAATCCTAATTCTAATTTCTTGTTTGTTCGAAATTCCCCATGGACGTATTATTAAGCGCAACAATGATGACGAACGAAGTAAGGATTTCGGTTAAATCACCAATTAAAGGATGAATTAATAGTAAATGAAATTGTAGGAGTTTTTTCAACATGTTTCGAGGACATCGGCTGCGTGGATTTTAACGAGAAATGGTACGACGAGAAGTACAGGCCGAGGAATCTGGATCCCTTAGATCGTCACACCATTCGCACGGAATTCCTCCTCATGAAGAACCCCAAAAATGAATCTGTAAATCCAATTGGCGCTATTAACGTTTAAGTTCAATGATGATCGTATTCAGACAGAGTTGGTTTACGACGTGATGTCCTTGAAGAAGGAAACGGTAGAGGTGGCTGGTTTCAGAAAGGGTACTTGCACAATCTTCATCATCCACGATTTTACGAGCAACGGTTACACTGGGTGGATCAAAGTTTTTTTATAATCCTGAAATGTTTTCAGAGTATTTTATAGTCTCTATGTTTCAGCACATCGTAGTGGCTTTGAGTAGAAAAACCGATTGCAATGTAATCTCCATAGATTGGCAGGCCGGAGCTGAACCGCCTCTAGAACAAGCCCTTTCCAATGCAAGAGTTGTGGCGCTTGAAGCCAAAATGTTCATCACCATGTTAAAAGTGTAGCTTTATAGCGCGATGTTTTTAAGTAAATAATTTATTTTTTTCAGGAATGTTTCAATCAATCACCTGAAACTTTACATGTAATTGGTCATGGGGTTGGCTCTCACATTGCTGGTTACATCGGTAAGAGCATATGCGGACTTCAAAGAATTACAGCGTTAGATCCAACTGGACCATTCTTTGCTCATATGCCGAAGGAAGTGCGTTTAGATGCCGACGATGCTAGATACGTGGAAGTCCTTCATACCGATCATTTCAATCGTGAAGTCTTTTAACAATATCTTACAAATCTCTTAATGCAGATAATTTTAGATAGAAGTCAAGGAAGTAAATTTCCTTTTGGTCACGCCAATTTCCTCATCAATGACGCTTTGCATCAACCAGGCTGCAACGATTCCTCTCACATGCCATCCTTTGTAGATTTGCGACGAGATTCTTTGCAAGAAGGAAAAATTCTACCAGCGTGCAGTCACAAAAGAAGCTTTAAATATTACATCCAAGCCTTAGAGGAATGTGAATGCAAATTTATAGGAATCCATTGCGTCGATTACGAATCGTTTTTAATGGTAATCTTGTAAAAATGATTGGTACAACTATGATTTCTTTAAATTAATTTAGGGTCAATGCAACTCTTGCCCCGGAAACGGAACTTGCGCTACTTTCGGATTGGAACCACCCTCTGTAAAGACCAAGAACAATAACTATTATATTCTAACCAACGAGCATACACCATTTTGCAGTAATTATTACTTAGAGAAAGTTCGCTTCGCTAATGTTAATTAATTAAATTTAGTGATATCTTATACAGTGAACATCACGTTGGAGGGTGGCGAGGTTAGCAAGGACGTGGAAGGTTACTTCGAAATGATCCTTATAGATGATAACAGCAAAGTTACGAACGCCACCAACACTTTATCCGGGTAAATCTCGTGATTATCTGAAATTAATTAATCCGTCTTAATTTAATTAATTACAGAGCAATGAGGAAGATGACAACAGGACATTTCTACAAATTCGTGTTCTACGCTTCCCTACCACCGATCAACAAAGTTAAAGAAGCGAAAGTGCGTTGGAATTACAACTCCAACAAGATCTGCATACTGTGCGATAAATCCATCACCATCAAGGACATCTCCATTAAACGAATCGCAATCAAACCTGATCCAGCGTTAGTAAATCCTGAAAGATAAACTTACCATTAATTTAGTCATTGATTCCAGTATAAAGATGAGCTTAATCTGTCCAATTCATGATAAAATGGAGTTAAAGAATGGGGATTACATGCAATTCGTAGCTTGCGAATCTCTTTACGGCCCTGAATACGCCACCAACGGTCACAAAGCCGTGCTCAAGCCAGGAGCCGCTATGGCAGGCCGTAAACCATACATCCTGCACCAGAATATCCTCAAGAACTTGAGCAGCAATGCTTTAGAACACTGCGACAATTCTAGTCCTTCCAATGGGACGCAAATGAAACCTTTGGAGGTGTCCATGAGCACTTCGGCTTTCACAAGCGTAACTCCAAGGATGGTGTCAGCTGGATCCGAAGGAGCCGTAACTCTTAATCCGAGCGCAGCTCTGAAACTCGGCGATACTTTCGCCGATAAAGACACTAAGGACTTTGCCGAATGCGGCGATTCCTTGCGCCTGATGTCGTCCACACCTAAATGCGTGATCAGGAAGAAAGATGTGCAGGGCGTGAGGAAAAGCAGGAACGTCTGAGTTACTTTTATTTATACACGTTTCTAGTTTATAGAGTTTATAAATAAATCTGGTTTCTTATTTTTTTTTTAATTCTTGTTGTTCTTTTGATCGATCTAAGTTACACTAAAATCCTGATTGATCGAGAATAATCGGTAACATTAATGAAAAAAAATATCAACTTTCGTCGATATTTTTTTCTTCTGATTTATTACAGTATAAGTTGTATATTTATATAACATTTACTACTACAGTTCATGAAAAACAGGTATCCCACTTATACATTTGAATATACTCGCGTTTACATATATTGTAAACATATAAATGGACAAGATGTTGACAAGCTTATCGCCTGAGAAGGAAAGTTGATTGGTTCAAGTTGATTTCTTAATTTTATTGTTATAATTATTATTCACACTAAGTTTCTCATTCGACTAGAAAACGAAAATAAGCGCAAAAAGACATCTTCATTGTAAATGACTTGTTTTTTTCTTCTCTCAGATAATAAATAACAGCGTACATACATTTCCTATATTTACAGATGAATATTTTTTTTTACCCCACATTTATTCAATAATTATTGTTACAGACTATCGCATTTATATATACTTTTTTATCCTTGAAATAATCCTTGTTATCATTTTTTTTTTCGTCCATCCTTTTTATTTCTTTCGTGCTAAGCATCGCTAAATTTATACTTTTTATTTTCTTTGTATTTTTTTCTTCTTCATGTATATATATATTTTTATCCTCCATACAACCACCCTACAACAATACAACAATTCATTTAAATCTAAAACAACAAATATAATATTTCATATACGTCTTTCTTGTGGTTTCTTTCATAATTTTTTTTTCGTCCGTGACAAAAAACTAAATATTAAATAAAATGTTAATAATGTTTTATTTGATATATGATATAGCGCAACATAGGCCAAGATATGATTAGATCAATGAAGTGTATAAAGTAAAGTCATCACAAATGAGGAGAAGAAGACCGAACCGAGCCGAAACATCATAAATTATAACAAAAAAATTACTTCCTTACTAAAGTTCTTCCTTCTTATTATTTTTTTTTCTCTTATTGTTTGCTGCATCTAGTTCTTATTTATAATTTATTATTGACATTGGTTTCAACCACTTCTCCATTAGGTTTTACCTCTTTCGCTTATCTATTTTATTTATTTTTTGGTTCGAAAGTAATTTTTGCTTTACAATTATATGTTATTTTTCCATTTTTTTATAGTTTATATAAAAATAGAACAATTGTACAATTATATTACAGAAATACAATTACAGATCAAAATACGCGTCGGTTTGTTTGTTTTTTTTATTATTATTTCTATTTGGGTTTTAAACGTCCTGTGTCATCGGTTCCATACAGTTTTGATTTGTAATTAGGTGCCCCGGAAATTATACGTAAAAAATAGTCATCCAACTCTTCAATACTGCTTCTTTTCTCCTCCAACACCAGCATTTTTTTCTACTTCTTCTTTTTAAATCCTCTCCATCATTTTATGCGTCACCAAGGAAACGATCGATTCAAGTGCGTTAAATAACGGAATGTATGTATATATATAATATATTACTTTTTTTTAACTTAAAATCACATGTATACGGTAAGTATATCAACAGGTGCTTCAAGGATTCCCAGCGACTCCTTTAGACATATCTTATATTTACTTTTTAGGTTTATGTATATATATATATTTTGTTGACTTCTCCTTTTCTTCTTTTTTTTTTGTTTGCATTCCTTTAAATTTTCATTCTCTTTTCAGTGTATTCGGATTTGCTTCGTTTCTTTTTTGCGTCCATCGATCAGAATTAGCAGTTGCAGTTCGCGGCCTGTGGGCCCTGTGGGGCGTCCGTCAATCTTGTCCCTTTTCCTCCGGCGTTCATCAAAGATGGATCAGTATCCAAACTGTCGGACATTTTGTCGCAGATTATGTCGACCAGACGCTCGAACACGTTCTGTAACATTCCAGATTGTTGCATAAATCATTTTCAATACATTATTCATTGCATCACAAAGGTTAATATTTGAAACGAATTATATACAGACAGTTTCATCAAATGAATATTTAACAAAGTTGAGTATAAAATATGTAAAACTGTTCTTTGTACAGCGGGAATTTGATTAAATAAACATGGAACGAATATTTTAAGTTACAAAGAAGCAAAAGTCCAAATCAGTTTCTCAAATGTACCTTTTTTCTTAAAAGTACCTAAGAGGCCATAATAAATCATTTTTGATTTAAATTGAATTGAATAGAAAGCAATATACCAAAGAAGAAAATGTAAAACTGAAGAGGTCGGGAAATTGATCAAATCGTTGTAAAAACATTTATAGTAATTGAAGAAAATAGTACATATAACATTCAAGAAATTAGAAATGAAGTGTTATTTAAATGTCTCAATCTATAGGTTTGGTAAAGTTGATGAAGAAAATGAAGACGAAATTAAAGACGTTCTTGACAAAATAATGTTGAGAACAAAATAATTAAGAAGGTGCATCTAACTATTTTTTAATCGAGTTATAAATGTATATTAAATTGAAGACGGAAATTGATCAAATTACGAGAAATTGATATGAAGTTAGTAAACACTATTAATCAGCCTAAAAGCAAATTAAATAAGTATAATCGAGAAAATTGATAACAGAGTTAAAAGTTAGAAAACAGAGTTGATTATTATTGTCTTAAGAAAATAAAATATGTAAAAGGGAGCTAAAATTGTTATAATGTTAGAAAACACTATTGACCTTTAATGAAAAAAATATACTACGTATAACTGAAGAACTTGGGAAATTGAAGAAAATGAAGAAAATATATTATGCACAACTGAATAACTCGGGAAACTTCTGAAAATGAAAAAAAATATATGTATAACTAGAAACAATTGGAAATTTATAAAATCCCTATAAAATAAGAAAATGAAAATAAATAAAATTAAAAAAGAAATGTAGAAAACGCTATTTATCCAATAATGCGATCCATCTAATTGTGGTAATTGTTAAGTGATGGCAAATCAAATTCTATGCATGAGGATAAAATTTTGTAAATATTGATTAAATGTAAAAGATGAAATATAAAAGAAGTCCACCGATGAAAATGCAATTAAATTTTGCGATCATTTCCTATCCTTGGAAACCGTATTTACGTGTTCAATTATGGGAAAACCAGGTTCGGTTGGAAACTGTAGTAATTGAATTTCATCCGATGTTCCGCAATTATGACTGGAAGGGAATGCCGTAACGTGCATTTTCGAGATACTGCCAGACATCGCTCCCCGGAGAGGAATAATGCTCTGTCCGGAATAATGTTGACGGAGAAATCGATGGCAGTTCATTATTTCGCGAAGAAGTGTTGCTATTTTTAGTTTAGCATTGAAGCGGGGAACGTAATTGGAAGAAGGTTTTCTTGAAGTGCACTTACTTTGACGTTGATGTTGTCCTTTGCGCTGGTCTCGTAGAACTCGACGCCCAGCTGATCGGCAAGTTGCCTGCCTCTGTCGTAGCTGATGACCCTGTCGTCCTCCATATCGCACTTGTTTCCGACAAGTATAACTTGTGCATTGTCCCAAGAGTACGTCTTGATTTGAGTCACCCTGCGGAATTTTGATACGATTGTATAGAGTAATTGGATTTTCGGTACACGCGGATGACTTCTTACCAGTCTTGTACGCTGTTGAAGGACTCCTCATTCGTGACGTCGTACATCAAAATGAAGCCCATGGCTCCCCTGTAGTAAGCCGTCGTTATCGTGCGGTATCTCTCCTGGCCAGCCGTGTCCTGGAATATACAGAGAAACATGAAACTTCTCGATAATAATTACAAGAAGCTCGTTTTCAATGTGATTAGGAAAATTGAATCTCTCGTTGTCATGAAAACTGGAGCGCCTTCAAATTGGAAAGTTCAAAAAGTTCTTTTCTTTTTTTCGTTTTCATCATAAATTACTCTATAATCATGTGAAATACTATGTAATAACGCGCGATAACTTATCATAGATCCGTTCTATTTTTAACAGTAATGCGAATGCACGTTACCCAGATCTGCAGTTTGACGCGTTTGTCGTGCCTGAAGACCGTTTTCACTTTGAAGTCTATGCCGACGGTGCTCACGAAGGCCGACGTGAAGCTGTCGTCCGCGTATCTGAAGAGGAACGACGTCTTTCCCACGGAACTGTTTCCGATGATCAGCAGTTTGAACATGTAATCGAAGTTCTGGTCCGCCGCATCCTTCTGCCATTTCGGGTCAGCTCCAGCCATCTGAAAAACATTTACCAAAATCATAAAAAAAATCCCCAAATTATTCAGTTATTTTTATCAATATCTTCTCATAGTGTTCAGATTAAATCAAGGTGCGTACACACTTCCCAATATTAAGCAAGCTATTGTATACCAATACCTCGCATAGTGCGGTTATTCCGTTCCGCCAATATCATGTTTGAAATCGGACTAATCGAGGACTTTAAAACTGCATAAAAATAAACATATTGTGTACTATTTTTTTTACAATTTATTTTTATTTTGTTCTATAAAAATAGTTTATTTTAAATTGTTTTATCCGAACTATATTGTTGTATATAGATTTGATTAATTTATACTTATTAGTGGATTAAATCTACCTTCCACTGAAACTTTTCTGTAAGCAGCTTTACAGGTATTAAAAATAATTTTCGAAAGTTTTATTACAACCACAAGCAAAAAAAAATACGAAGATTTTGTCGACTTGGAACGAAGCCAAATCCCATTAAAACTTTTGTTGAAGTTTGGAACCAGTGAAAATCGCACTTTAAATTAATTACAGGTTGGATTTTAGTTTTAGTTTCCATTAATATGAAAATATTGAATAGCAGATGGACGATGGAAAGGAAAGAAAATAGATACCACAAATAAATATGAGAAATTTATAGTACAGTACACTCATTTAGTACTTTCTATATTTACGCTGATTCTATATAATGCGATATACACGAAAACCAAAAAAATCTCTAAATTTACCTATCTACTATATGTTAAGATTTCTTTTTTAAATTTAACTTGTAATATTTGCAATGTATTCTGAAAGAATGTTGAGTTGTTCTCATCAATTTCAATAAGAATCTATTAGAATGCATAGCATGAATGAAAACTCAAATGTCAAATCTTTAATAAATATACTATGATAGGAAAGGGTTTAACGTCAAAATAAAAGTGTATTATTAGACACAACCTAAAGAGGATTAATAGTGAATCGATACGAAGACGATATGAAGTGGTAAGTGGATCTTCGGCCACACTTACAGTATTAGCGAGATATTTGATACAACAGTAATTGAACATGGGAAAAAGTCTAATGTATCAACGAAAATAAATATCTTTGGAAATTGCTTTTATATCTCAAAAATGAAGAATATTAATTGAATAATGCAGTCATATCTCGATTAACAAAAAGTATGCGTTCTACGAAAATACTTTTTTAAGCGAAACTTCATTTTCAGAGATAAAATAATACTATAGCCAGAATGGTAAGACTTAACTATAATGTCATTTACGGTTGATAACCGTTTTTGTTCTAACTTAGGGAGATATTTGATACAAAATTAATTGATTATAGCGACTAATAGCCGAATGGTTAAGTTGCCCTACCCACGATTCCGTGGGCGCCGGTTCGAATCCTGGTCAAGCCAGATCCTTTGTCAGAACTCTCGGTGTTTGCAGTAATAGGGTCATCGTTAATCATGAATGGACAGTCAAATGAAAGAAGTTCAACATATGACAGTGTTAAGTATAGCAGGAGATACACAGTCAAAGGAAATAGTGGAATAGCAGAGCATCAATATACTACTGAATTTAACCTACAAGACGACATCATATCAACAAATACAGAAGAATATAATGGTAACAATTTCCATTGAAAAGTTTACCAAAAAAGCAAATGTCTACCGACATTAAATATAATTAATATTCGCGGGAATAAGATTGTAAATTAAATATACTATGGCATAATAAAAAAAATAATTGATCATTGGCAAAACGTATAACATGACGAGAAAAATAAAGATCTGTGAAAATTGCTTCAATAAGAATATATATTTAATGATATGAAAATGGAAATTCACTTGAATAATTACAAAAAAAAAAACAGTAATGAATAATAAATTTGGGAATTTTCATACCTTGGATGAAATCAATAATATATAATGTGACAGTGAAAGAAACTCAATTTGGAAAAAAATGGTTCAATGTCTCATGATAATATTAATTTATTTATATGAAAATTAGATCAATTATTTTCTCATTTTAATAATCTGTAGTTATTACTACACACATATAATAAAATATCAATCAAATTCGCATTTATTCGAAGAATATATTTATTTCTAGAAGAATTCAATTTGATTTCTTTCTGCAACAATTTTCATTGGCCCATTTTATTTTTAATTAAAATGAATAATGAGTGATTTACACAGTTTTCTAAACAATAATAACATTTATTTACCAACAATAAACTCAACAAAATAATATAATAAGAAAAGTAAAACCAAATTGATTCTAAACAATATTTTCACTAGAATGTTATAAGTAACTATTCTAACACGGCGTGTTTTCAATATTTTAACCTCGTGACCCAACGTTGTTTGTAGTTGTACCAGTTCATTGCTTTGACTCAAGGTGACAGCTGTCATTTAACGCAACCCATAGGATTCTCAATCAATGATTCATAAAGTTTGCAGTCAATAGCCTTTCATACGTGTATACATTATTTTTACTACTAGAATATTATAATATTATTTATTAATATTTCATAATACTCAATTTGTATATTATTCATATGGATAAGATGTTAGAAAGAAAAGTTGTCGAAGTTAATACGACATAAAAATAGAAAATCAATTAGGTTTTTATTGATACTTTAAAGATTTTAGTTAATAATAAAAAAAAATTGATTTATTAATAATAACTAATAACTGTGGTAAAAGTCTATTAACTATAGATTTTTTTGTACCCCATTGTTATAATAACAATAATTTCTTTAATATATGGAAATGTGAAAATAAATGTTATCGATTATTCGCTTTTCGTCCTGCAAATTATATACTAAATTATTATTTCGAATAATTCCTAATTAATTATTGACATTTGATATACCACAGTTGATTTCTACCTGCATTTAAAAATTTCCCAGTAATTTTAAATTGGTAGTTGAAAATCAATCAATAGATGCAACGAAGCTCATTGAATAAAACAGTAATGCAAAAAAAAACTCGGTCACTAGACTTCATTTAGTTCATTCAAATACATCTATTTGTAATAATCAATAGTTTTATTTATACTAATATTACAATAAACTTTACAGTACCTTTATAACGTTGATTAGTTCATTAAAATTACAAGTTTTATACTAGGATAATTTTCCAAGTTTCATAACATGATTTAATTCAATAAAAATACATCCCTTTATAAAGATCAATAATGTTTTTATACTTCTAGTAATAAAGTAAATCTTCCTAGAACGCGGTATTCCCATAGCGCGGAATATTTCAATTAAGATATAACTGTTTATAAAAAATCAATACTTTTTATACAGTATAGTAAATCCTCATAGAACGCGGTATTCTCCTAACGCGGTTTAGTTTAATTTAAATACATTTGTTTATAAAAATCAATACATTTTCATGACGTGATTTAGTTCAATCAAATATTTCCGTTTAATAATGTTTTTATACTACTAATACAGTAAATCTTTTCAATTTCTATGATGTGACAGTGGATTTAAAAAAAATAGGTTTCCATAGAACTCGGTGCGAATTAATATGATTTGTACAAACTCTGAATTACTTATAACGTAATACACAGTTTCTATATAACACGGTACCAATTAAACTGCTTTGTATTAATTTTAAGTTTCATGTAACACGTTACAAATTAATCTGAACTTTATTAATTCTGAATTTAGTCGTATTATAAAAGAGTTGTCTCTAATAATACCAACGTTTATTGTAATAGTCGTACAGAAAAAATAAAGTAAAAAATCAATAAACAATATCTCGCACTTTTAGAAACCAGACTGATTGAAAAAAAGTAATTACAAAATAATTTTGTATACTGATTTTCTAGATTTTATTTTTGTTATGCTGAATTAAAATTTAGTTTATTTTGAAATTTTCACACCGTACTATAATCCGCACTAATCTGTACATAGGTATTTCCGCCAAAATTTTGTTATATTCATTAAAAACGTTTGCACAAATGAAATATGTTTAACATTTTGTACACAGCTAACTTGTATTTGTATTCGTTATCTCTCACCGCAATGATTAGATTGTAAAAAAATATGACAATGTTCGTAATTTTTTTTAATGAATATACCTATTTTTCACAATAATTCTGTTGATATTTTAATTAAAGTGAAATAATCTTGTGCAATCGGGTAAAGTGTTTCGCTTTCCAAGCGGAAAGGTGTTACATCTGGGGTTGGAAGTGTAAAAGCAGAAATTGATTTGTGTGGGCGAGTTTGAATAAGCGAGGTGCATTAAAAAGTGATGGAAACGAATTTGAATGAAAATCCATACGTTTGATTGCTTTCCATTTCCCGCCCGGATGCGATAAAACCGAAATTTTCATATATACGTTACATATTATATAAGTTTCTTTTTTTTTATTCCGACGCGAATCAAACCATCAATAACAGAGCGATCCCGAATCGATACGGTCGCAGTTCACTTACATCGTAATTAAAGTAACCCAGAGGGATGTCCACCAATGATAGAAGCCTCGACTGACGTTTTCTAATCTTGAACGCGTAATCACCAACTACAAAATTATGAGATTATGAGAAATATTTCCTTAGTTTTCGGAGTGGAGATAAAAAGAAAATCCTTCAAGGGTTGGATTTTCTGTGCGTTGCTGTGACCCAGTTCCCAGT